TACTGTACTCCTTATATACTCATGACTGTGTGGCCAAATTCCACCCCAACTCCATTTATAACTTTGCTGATGATACCACTGTTGTAGGCCAGATCTGAAAAAATGATGAGACAGAACACAGGAAAGAGATTGAGTATTTAGCGGCAATGGTGTAAACACAACAATCTCTCCGTTAATGTCGGCAAAATGAAGGAGCTGGTCATTGACTTCAGGAAGCAGAGTGCAGGGTGTGCTCCATTCCACATCCATGGTGCTGAGGTGAGATGGTCAAGAGCGTTAGGTTCCTGGGAGTAATGATTGCCAACAATTTGTCCTGGTCCACCCACGTCGACTCAATGGTCAAGAAAACACATCAATGCCTCGACTTTTTCAGGAGGCTAAGGAAATTCGGTCTCTTATCAATCTAATAGATGTTCTATAGGAAGCATCCTATGTGGATGGATCACCGTGTGGTTTGGCAACTACTCTTCCCAAGACCACAAGAAACTATGGAGAGTCATGAACACAGCCCAGTCGATCATGCAAACCCACTTCCATCCATTGACTCTATCTATACTTCGCACTGCCTCAGGAAAGCAACCAACATGATCAAAGATCCTACCTACCCAGGTTATTGACTCTTCCACCCTCATCCATCAGGCAGAAGATAAAAAAAGTTTGAATACACATACGAACAGCTTCTGCCCACTGTTATCAGACTTTTGATTGGACCTCTCAAATGTTAATGTCAATCTCTCTCTATATACCTTCTCTGCAGCTGTAACACTGTATTTTGCACTCTGTTCTGTTACCCTGATGCACCTGTTTGTACGATTGTCCTGTAAAACACATAAAACAACACTCTTCACTGTATGTCAGTACATGTGACAACAATAAATCATGTCAAATTCAGCCAATTACTGTCCTTTCAGTCTACTCTCAATCCTCAGCAAAATGAGGTTGTGGGCTGTCTTATCAAGCAGCATTTGCAAGGGAATAACCTGCTCACTGGTGCTCAGTTTGGACTCTGCCAGAGCCACTCAGCTCCTCACCTCATCAGAGCCTTGGAACACACACAGACAAAACAGCTGAGCTCCAGAAGTGAGATTAGAATAATCGCTCTTGACATCAGGATGCACTTAACAGAGTGTGGCATCAAGGAGCCATAACAAAACTGGCGTCTCGAATACTGAAGCATTCAGATGCAGTATGCTTGGAACAACATCGAGGTTTGGCCTGATCAACAGCAAATAACATACCATACAGTGACTGACTCCAACAATAGAAAATCTAACTATTGCGCCTTGATGTTTAATGACATTTCTAGTGCTGAATCCTCCACTGTCAATATCCTTCAGGGGTACACCATTGGTGAGAAACTGAAATGAACCAGACAATATAAATAATGTGGTTTCAAGAATGGTAAGAGGCCAGAAATTCTGCACCGAAGAACTCACCTTGTCTCTCCAGTGCCTGTTCACAATCTACAAGGCACAAGATAAGACTGTAATGGAATGATCTCCACTTGCCTGGATGAATGCAGCTCCAACAATGCTTGAGCTCTACACAATTCAGGACCAAGAAGCCTGTTTGGCACATCCACCACCTTCAATATTCTCTCCCTTCACCACCAATGCACAGTGGCACCAATGTGCATCATCCACAAGAAGTATTGCAAGAATGCTCCTTCAAATCCACTTTTCAAATCTGTGATCTCCACCACCCAGGAGGGCAAGGGTAGCAGATGCACGGGAACACACATAATCCAGACTTAGAACTGTATCACTGTTCCCTCACTGTCACTGGATCAAAATACTGGAGCTCCCCTTCTAAAGAATTGTTAGTGATTCAAGGGCTTATCATCTTTCAATGGCATTTAGGGATGATCAATAAATGCTGGCCTAGCTAGTAATACCCACATCCCATGAATGAAAACTTTTTTTAAAAAGCCAAAAGTATATAAACAAAGAGGTTTCTTGGTAGAACCAGTTTGGAAAGAGGGCTCCACTAGCAATATAAATTATTTGTGTACTCAGAATTGTCTAAAGGTAGATGTATTTGATTTACATTTATGTTTGGGAGTGGGAGCATTCAGAGTGTGCCACATTGCCCTGAACCTGGACTTAGAATTAGAGAAGTTCCTTTGTTTTATTTGTGTGTGTGTTTGCTCTCAACCTAGTTGGAGTTTAGATGCAGAGAGAAAAATCAGCTGTTAAATAAATGCGAAATGAGTTATATAGGAGCTGTGAGGGACAGATTGGGAGACGCGAGCCGAAGTCTATCCAAAGCTATTACTGGGAACATGGACGCTATTAAGAACAAGCACTCCTAGTTTTTAAATCATTAAAATCAAACCCATTGATTGGTGAAGCACGAACTGAGAAGTCCACAGTTCAATATTAAAAACTTCAAAGGGTTGTTTAGCCAAAAGCTAATGGAGGGATCCCCATGAAAATTTAAAGGTAGGTGAAGTGCTGGACCACTGGAGACATCAAAGTGAATTCCTGAGAGCTGTGAAGTGCTTGATTTGATTCTATAAAGAGAGGTGAGTGAATTCTGAAGATTTCATAAGTTAAAGGGACTTCCTGGGTGGAATTAGAGAACATAAATCCAGTACCCTCTTATTCAGGTCTTGACAAACTATAGTATTAAATTGGTATTGATTGCTTCATTTAATTTTTTTGTTACGTTTCATTTTTGGAAAAGCAAAGACTGATTATGGCTTTGTGCATGGGAAATCATTTCTCACTAATGACTGAGTTTTTGAAGAAATGATGAAGAGGATTGACGAAGGCAGAGCTGTGGCCGTTGTCTATATGGACTTCAGCAAGACGTTCAACAAAGTTCTGCATGGTAGGCTGGTTAGCAAGTTTAGGACACATGGAATCCAGGAAGAGCTAGACATTTTAGATACAAAATTGGCTCAAAGGTAGAAGATAGAGGATGGTGATGGAGGGTTGCTTTTCAGACTAGAGGTCTGTGGCCAGCAGCATGCCACAAGGATCAGTGCTAGGTCCACTGCTTTTTGTCATTTATACAATTGATTTGGATGTGAATATAGAAGGTATGGTTAGTTTTGCAAATAACACCAAAATTGGTGATGCAGTAGACAGCAAAGAAGGTTACCTCAGAGTACAATAGGACCTTGATCTGATGGGCAGATGGGCAAATGGGTCAAGGAGTGGCAGATGGAGTTTAATTTAGGTAAATGTGAGGTGCTGCATTTTGGAAAGGCAAATCAGGACAGAACTTGCACCCGTAGGTCGCTTTGTTTGGCAACACTCGCCAGGACCTGACCATTAAGTGTATAAGTTCATAGTTCCTTGAAAGTAGAGTCAGGTAAACAGAGTAGTGAAGAAAGCATTTGATATGCTTGCCTTTATCGGTTAATGCATTGAGTATAGAAGTTGGGAGGTCATGTTGCGGCTGTACAGGACATTGGTTATGCCACTTTTGGAATACTGCATTCAATTTTGGTCTCCCTGCTTTGGAAGGATGTTGTAAAACTTGAAAGGGTTCAGAAAAGATTTACAAGGATGTTGCCATGGTTGGAGGGTTTGAGCTAGAGGGAGAGGCTGAATGGCTGGGGCTATTTTCCCTGGAGCGTCGAAGGCTGATGGGTGACCTTATAGAGGTTTATAAAATCAAGAGGGGCATGGATCGGGTGAACAGCCAGGGTTTTTTTTTCCCTGGGGTAGGGGAGTCCAAAACTATGGGGCATAGGTTTAAGGTGAGAGGGGAAACATATTTAAAAGGGACCTATGGGGCAACCTTTCCATGCAGGGGGTGGTGCATGTATGAAATGAGCTGCCAGAGGAAATGGTACAATTACAACATTTGAAAGGCATCTGAATAGGTACATGAATTGAAAGGGTTTAGGGGAATATGGATCAAATGCTGGCAAATGGGACTAGATTAATTTAGGATATCAGGTCGGCATGGTCAAGTTGGACTGAAGGGTCTGATTTTGGGCTGTATATCTCAAGTATTTTTTCAAAATGTGAAATTTAATAGCACAGCTACATTGGTCACTGCGTGTTCAAATTTGTTTTCAATGGTTAGCAGTCTCAATAGAGATCATAATCTGTATCTGTCTTTTATGCAACCTGGCAGTCAGTCTAAAACTAGCAGGGAAAGCTAAATTATACCCACAAGTCAAGCTTTGCCATTTAAAAAATTAGTGACCAAAATAACGTTGAGATTTTTTTTGTTTTGACATTTCAAGGAAAATTGCAATGGTTGCATGTTGTTCCTGAGTCTACATGTCCAAAGGTTAATGATGCCTGCTGGTTTATAGTTTCAGACTTGGTCTGATGAGAATGTATATTCACTTTGAAGATGACAAAGATGTCATATGATGGCGAGTAATATTTTCCAGTAAGCCAGAATACAGTTGCGAGTGTTTTCTTTTCAATCCTGTGTCTCACTACTGGGTAGAATCTGGTTTATTGAGGAACTAAGGTGCACCTACAGGAGAAATCATTAACAATGAGCTATAATTGTAAATCTAACACGATACTCTCAGAAACATATCAAAGGCCACATGGAATCATTTGGCCTATAAGACTCTACCATGTATATCCACGAGGTAATGCTTTTTATGGCAAATGAGAAGGATCACTGAAATGAGAAAAATTAGTAACAATAATTGTTCAAAAAGAAAAAATGATATATCTTTGAATATTTTAAAGTATTTATTAAAAGTACTTCTACAGGCTGACATTGTTGCCCTATTTGTAATAAGTAAAATGATATCACTGGGCCCTCTAACGGTACTATAAAATTTACCACAGGATATTAGCTTTAAACAAAAGGGATATTAAATTATTGTTGATAAACTAACATTCTCTGGAAAGCTATTGTACTTTAGCCTGGCAATAATATATGCTGGCCTCGGTGTTAACCATGTAGCGAATAAATGATCGATGATCCTTGGTGACCTGAAGAGCAAATTGATGGTAAATAAATACCTGCAAGATTATAGCAAGCATAAAAAGGTACTGCCAATGTTAGGACCAGTATTTTCTTGTTAGGTTTATTAAGAACATCAGGTGAACTCAATCACAGATAGATATATCATGGCTGTTAGCAAAGCATCCAAGTTGGGTACATACCTGGCATCCAATGTCTGCATCACGCTAATTATGCAATAAGATTAAGGAACAGAATGGCATTTCCAATGTTACAGCAATACACCCTCATCCAACCTCTGAAAAGAAATTCTTAATGCATTTTTATTTCCTAACCCTGCATTCCTTGAGCTAGTTCCTAACTTGGAACCCATTTAATTGCAGAAAAGACTAGGTTGAAACCAAGTAAATGACTGGATTCTGGTTTTTTTTTAACTCAAATTTCATTAAAATTCCACTGGGAAAATAAGGAAATTGATTACTTTTCACAAGTGATTTCTAAAACTTGCTCATCAAAGATGATTTTTCAATCTCTTTAGAAAACTACAGCTTTAAATAAGACAGCTCTATATTATGTCTCATATGATATACAGTGCCAAAGGAACCCATCCAGCCCATTGCATCTATGCTAGATTTTCATTTAATCCTGTTTCTTTTTCCTTTCTTCATTCATTTCTAAATTTATATTTCTTCATTTTCTGAATTGCCATATCTCATACCTATCTCCTCTGTAACCCAGGTCCTGGCTATTTCCATTCCATTACCACTCTCCACCTTAGCTACAAATTTCTCCTCTCCAAATATAATGGACATGTTTTCTGGGCTTTTACCAAAGTTTCTGTAGATAAAACAGTTTTGTGGGAAATTTGTGTTTAAAGAATAAATGTCAATGAGTAGAAGTTAAACTTAATGAAACAACCAGAACTGCCAGGGAGAACAATTCCATTTGAACGAGAAAGTGTGATATATTTGTGAAAGAAGCAATTACATATCTGTTCACTGATATAGTTAATGCCTTTAGAGATGATATGCACAAGATAAGTAACATACAATTTTTTATGTTCTGACATATTTGCCTAATCAGAACCGCTTCAAAGAGATTCCACTGAAAATGCTATACAGGCCATACCTACATTGTAAAGCATTCTGCAAAAATCACTTTGTTGTATAAGTTGTTCCATGAAATGTAAACAGTATCAACTAAATATTTGTACAGCATTATTTATACCAGTAAATAAATGGCATTTGCACACAATGATGTAGCATCTGCTTTTACAGAAATTCTGCTGATGAATGCAACTAATAAATTACTACATACAGTGAACTTCTATTTAAACAGTCACGATCAACCCCAAATAATTTTTCTACCACTTCCACATATAACATGCTTAAATCTACAAATTACTCTCCTTTAAATCAGTTACTCTGTGAGATCTCTCTGAACTGTTATGACATTGCTGAGCTCAGGAAAATGAACCACCTTTATTGCTTTTCATGCCTGTATTGTAACCTGGTAGCATTTTAAATATTGGGCTTCATTTTATCGATGCAGTGTGTTTTTGTTTTTTATTGTTTCAATTCCTCTCCTCGAGTAGTTCGGTTCAAGAAGGATGAGTTGCCCGCACATTTCCGATCTGAAATGGGTCTTGTGGCAAATCATGGAGATGATTATAAGAAGAAACTGAGTAGCATTAAAATGAGTAGACACAACGATGACCTTGTTATCGCTGGAAGATAGATATATAATTAGAGGAAAATCTCCAGTAGAACAACAGTCAGAAAATTTTAAACACAAAATTTAAATTTTTAATATCACACTTTATAATATTGTCAAAAAAGGCTGTGAAACTGAAAATATGAATAGATTTAATCCCCTCAGTATTTTTATATTTGATCATGGGTTATGGGCTTCTCTGGCTAAGCCAACATTCACTATCATCCGTAATTGCCCTTGGTAAGGTGGTGGTGAACTGCTGCCTTGAACTGTTCAGTCCTTGGGGTCAGGAACACCCACAGTTAGTTAGGAAGGGAGTTCTGGGATTTTGACGGAGTGACAGGTGTTATAGTTTTAAGATAGGATGGTGTGCTACTTGGAGGGGAATTTGCAGTTGGTGATGTTACAATGCTTCACTTTGCCTTCTTGGTGATGGAGGCCATGTGTTTGGAAGATGCAGTTGGAGGGGGCTTGTGTGGTGCATCTTGTTAGCAGTGCATAATCCTGGTACGGTGTGTCTTTGGTAAAGAGAAAGGAATGTTGAAGGTTGTGGATGGGATGCCAATTAAACAGACTGTTTTGTCCTGGATGGTGTCAAGCTTCCGGAGTATTGTTGAAGCCACACTCCTCCAGGCAAATGGAGAGTATCTCATCAGACTCTTGACATGTGCCTTGCGGATGGTGAACAGGCTTTGGGCAGACAGGTGGTGAGTGACTTGCTGTAGAATTCTCAGCCACTGTATTTTTTGGCTGGTCCAGTTCACCTGGTCAACAGTAACTCTCAGAATGTTGATAGTAGGGGAATCAGCAATTGTAATGCCATTGAATGTCAAGGGCAGACAGGTTCATTCTTGATACAGATGGTCATTGCCTGCCACTTATGTAGTACAAATGTTACTTGCCACTTATCAGCTCAAGCCTGGATATTGTCCAAATTTTGCTATATTTGGAAATGGTCTACTTCAGTCTCTGAGGAGTCGCAAATTGTGCTGAACATTGTACAACCATCAGTAAACATCCCCACTTTTGACCTTGTGATGGAGGGAGGATCACTGGTGAAGTAGCTGAAGATGTTTGGGCCTAGAATACTAACATGAGGAACTCGGGAATTAATGTCCTGGGGCTGAAGTGATTAATGTCCATCAACTATCTTCCTTTGTGCCAGATATTACTGCAAGCAGCACTGCTCCCATTGATACTTGCTTTGACACACTTGATGCGACACTCAATCAAATGCTGCCTTGATGTCAAGGACCATCAGTCTCAGCTCATCTCTTAAGTTCAGCTCTTTTGTTCATTTGGGCAAAGTTGTGATGAGCGTAGTTGCCCTGGCAGAACCCAAACTTACCGTCAATAAGCAGTTTATTCCTTTGCATGTGACATCTGATCTCACTGTTGAAGATGCTTTTTATTACTTTGCTGGTGAACAGAGGTAGACTGATACAGCAGTGTTTGGCTGAGTAGGATCTGTCCTGCTTTTAGTGCTTTGGGCATGCCTCAGCAATTTCTACATTGTCAGGTAAAATACTTGTGTTGTAACTGTACTCAAACAGCTTGAGTAGGGGTTAGAGATAACAAAGTGTGGAGCTAGAGGAACACAGCAGGGGGGGAAGGGGGCTCTGAAATAAATAGACAGGAGCAACGGGGGCTCTGAAATAAATAAAGGAGGGGTAAGGCAGGGGAGGGTAGGTGGGATGGTGATAGGTGAGTGCAGGTAGACAGTGGTGGGGATTGATCATTGAGGTGGGAAGGAAGACGGACAAGTTGTGTCAGGTCAAGGAGGCAGGGATGAGAGGGAGGGTTAGTCATGGAACGAGGCCAGGGGTGGGGAGAGGTTGAAATTAGTAAAGTCCACACTGAGACCGTTGGGCTGTAGGCTCCCGAGGCGGACTATGAGGTGCTGCTCCTCCAATTTCCGGGTGGCGTAATTGAGACACTGGAGGAGGCCCAGGATGGACATGTCATCCAGGGAGTGGGAGGGGGAGTTCAAGTCGTTCGTGACTGGAAGGTGTTGTTTGTCGCGAACAGAGCGCAGGTGCTCTACAAAGCGATCTCCGAGTTGGGGTGCATCTAGTTCTGGAACACACATCTTCAGTACTATCGCTGAAATGTTGTCATGTCCCATAGCCTCTGCTGTATCCTGTGTCTTCAGCCATTTCTTGATATCATGTGAAGTGAATAGAATTGGAATTAGTTGAAGACTGACATCTCTGATGTTGGACGAGGCTGAAATGGATCGCCCTTTTCACACTTCTGGCTGAAGATAGTTGCAAATACTTCAGCTTGGTTTTTCACACTGATGTGCTGGGGATTGGCATATTTATTGACCCTCATCCAGTTCTTTAATTGTCCACCAGAATTCACAATTGGATTGACAGGACTCCAGACCTTAGATGGGTTACCAATCTCCAGACCTCTGATTTGTTGGTTTTGCATTTGCTTTCCTTTGCCAATCATTTGCTGTTTATGCTGTTTAGCATGCAAGTCTACGTTGAGGATTTTGAGGGCAATTTCTTCCTGACTGTGTACTACTGTGCTGGTCCCTCTTGTGGGACAGAACACAGCCAGGGATTGTCGATGAGGTGTGTGGAACATGTTCCATAAGATATGATTCTGTGTGTCAGACTGACTTGCTTGGCTTGTCTGTGGGACAGCTCTCCCAATTTTGGTACAAGCCTTCTTGGTATGTTGGTAAGGAGGATTTTGCAGTGTTGACAGGGATGTGTGCTGATGTCATTTTCAATGCTAATTGGTCTGTCTGGTTTCATGCCTTTCTTTGGACCTTGTAGTGGTATTATACAACTGAATGGCTTGCTAGGCCATTTCAGAGGGCAACTATAAAGTCAACTTCTGGGTGTTTGGAGTTTCATGTAGTGAAGGCAATATAAGAAAGGCAAATGTCCTTCCCTAAAGGACATTAGTGAACCAGATGGGTTTGTAAGACATTCAACAGTGGTTATGTGGTCTTCATTAGACTAATTTTAATTCCAGATTTTATTGAATTCAAATTTCACCATCTGCCATGGTGGGATTTCATGTTCCCAGAAAATTGACCAGAATTCTGTATTACAAGTACAGTAATGCTTACTGCTACACCTCTGTTTTTTAATGTTATTTAGTACTATTGAGCATTCATATGAAGTTCTGTCTATGCAATTTTAACTCCTGTCCTAACTTGTTGAGCTTATTTCTACAAAGATTGTAAATATGACACAGTATAATAAAATACATTTTTAGAATAGTAAAATAGGTGTGTAAATTGGTAATTGTAATTACATGATATCCAAAAGGGAAGGTCTACTGACACCATTGATCCAATTATGAACTTCAACTGTGCACGCTCACTTCTGATTAAAAACAAATTCTACTTCGTTGAACATACTTTTCCTCTTTACCTATATACTTTTTTCATTATTTTGTTTTCATTTCTAAGGTTTTGTTATGTTATCGCTCTTTATATCAATTTTTTTCTGAAACTTTGCTCCTACCAAGCCTGCTCCTGTAACCTATTCAAACAGCATTGCACTTTGTAAACTGAGGTAACCTGGGCTTCCACTGGTGGTAAAGAGGATGTAGCTGAGTTGTATAGGGTACAAAATCCTGGGCATAGATTTTTGGCAACCATCTTCAATCATCCAAAGTAACAGGGCTACAATTGGTTTCTTCCTTCTCTAGCTAGGGTTACTGCTCCTGATAGCTATCCAACTCTCTGCTGGAAGAATGAATGTGTGGACATTAGTCAGAATAGAACTAACTGTGATGGGGATCCATTGTCTGATAACCTGCCCAGTACTCATTGTCTGGAGTCAGATATCAACAAGGTGTACTAAGATGTACAAGAGTTCTGCACTTGTGGAACCACCACCAGCATGAAATATCGCAACACTTTGTGAAATTGTAATCCAGTATGAAATTGGTTAAGATAGCCAGAAAACTTGCAGACAAAAACAATAGACATTAAAATACAGCATCAAAAATGGAATGCTCCTTTTTAAGGCATGATAATCATACAAGTAGTCAGGGGCATAACTCACCTGCACCAGAACATTCAATCATCTTGATTGCCTCCAGGTAGGTTCCTCCAAGCCAATCTTCATAAGTAGTTTTCTCCCCAACTGAAATAATTCTAACAGTAGAATCTTTAAAGAGCAGATCACTTCCACCATAGGCTGATGAATTAAACATCTTGAAGCCATTAGGATTATCATTTTGCCCGAAGAAATCCTAGAAGAAAAGATATCTATTATTACAGCATTTGTCTGCATCACATGCACTATGGCAATACCTGAGGAACAAGTATTGATCAAAACATCAAGGGAACTCCATATTTTTCTTTGAATACTACTGTGGAATCTTTAATGTTAGCTAAGGTTTGGAAACATGCAAATGGAGTTAGTCATCCACATTGACGTTAGTACCTCTGACATTGCACCAATGCTTCCTTGGAAGGTTAGATCAGAATGTGTACTTCAATCTTGAATTCTGATGCAAAGGTGAACGAAGACAACAAAGAAAAATCAGCAAGGGGACTGTCAACATTGTATAGTAAATTTTAATTGAAGTAATGGTGTCTTGCCCTTTCCCTGTATTAGACTATAAGATATAGGAGCAGAATTAGGCCGTTCAGCCTATGGGCATCTTCTCCATGCCCGTACAGACGCAAAGTCCACTCTACTATCCCATCATGGCTAACATCTTTCTCAACCCTGTTCTTCCGCCTTCGCTACATAACCCTTGATTCCCTTATTAACCAAGAACATATCTATTTCTATCTTAAATACACTCAATGACTTGGCCCCCACATTCCCCTGTGACAATGAGTTCCACAGATTAACCATCCTCTTGCTGAAGAACGTCCACCTCATCTTAGTTCTAAAGAGTCATCCCTTCACTCTGAGAATGTGCCCTCTGGTCCTAATCTGCCCTTCGACTGGAAACATCTTCTCCACACCCACGCTATCCAGGCCTCTCAGTATTCTGTAAGTTTCAGTCAGATCCCCCCTTCATCCTCCTGAAATCCGTCAAGTACAGACACAGAGTCCTCAACTGCTCCTCATATAACAAGCTCTTCATTCCCAGGATCATTCTTGTAAACCCACTCTGGACCCCCTCCAATGCCCACACATCTTTCCTTAGATAGGGCACCCAAAACTGTTCTCAATATTCCAAATGCGGTCTGATCAGACCTTATACAGCCTCAGCAATACCTCTCTGCTCTTGTATTCTAGCTCTCTTGAAATGAATGCCAGCATTGCTTTTGCCTTCCTAATTAACAATGAACCTGCATGTTAACCTCAAGAGAATCTTGAACTAGGACTCTTGAGTCCCTTTGTGTTTAGATTTCTGAAGCCTTTCTGCATTTATAAAATAGTTCATGCCTGTATTCTTCCTTCTAAAGTGCACAACCTCTCAATTTTTCACATTGTACTCCATCTGCCACTTCTTTGCTCACTCGCCTAGTATGTCCAATTCCTCTGCAGCTTCCCTGCCTCCTCAACACTACATGTCCCTGTCTTTGTGTCATCTGCAAACTTAGCAACAATGTCCTTCATTCTTTTGTCCCCATCATTAAAGTATAATGTGAATAGCTGTGCTCCAACACAGGCCCCTGTGAAACTCCTCCAGTTACTGTGTGCCATCCTGAAAAACACCTCTTTATCCCTACAATCTGCCTTCTGCCAGTCTGCTGATCCTCTATCAATGTCAGTACCTTGCCCCTAACATCATGAGCTCTTGTCTAGCAGCCTCCTTTCCAGCAGCTTATAAAAGGCCTGCTGGAAATCCAAATAGAACACATCCATTGGCTCTCCTTTGTCCAACTTGCTCAATATCTTCTCAAAGAATTCTAACTGAGATGTCAGGCATGACCTATTATTCTATAGTTTTTACAATATTGTCTATGAAATTTGCTTTAAACACCAGGACTAGTTTTCAATATTGTGCTTTTGAAGGGGAGGACAGCTTGAAAGAGGTATGTTCAATTTAGTTCTATAACACTAATGACCCACTGTAACAGAGTTTTGCATTTACTGAAGTGGCTATTTCCCTCCTGCTCTTCAGCCCAGAAGTTACATTTTTGGTTTACATTCATTGTTCTGGATTTTTAAGTAATCTTGTGTAACACCCTCCCTCTCTTCACCCAATAATGTGGATGAAGACAAACAGATTTTATTCTAGATGTTCTTCAGTGACAAGGTATCCATTACAACATGTTAAAAACTTTACAAAACATTGGTTAGGCCACAGGTGGAATACTGTGTGCCTCTGGTTACCATACACTCAAAAGGACAAGACTGCACTGGAGAGGGTGCAGCGGAGATTCACCAGAATGTTGCCTGGGATGAAAATTCTGAGTTATGAGGAGAGACTGGATAGGTTCGATTTGTTTTCCTTGGAGCAGTGGAGACTGAGGGGAAATTTGATTGAGGTATACAAAATTATGACAGGTTGAGAGATGGTAGATCATGAGAATCTTTTCCCCTTGGCAGATGTGTCTAAGACCAGAGTGCTTAAGTTTAATTTGAAGAGTAAGTAGCTTAGAAGAGATCTGGGGAAATTTTTTTCACCCAGACAGTGATAGAAATATGTAACGCACTGCGCAAAAGGGCAATAGAGCCAGGTACTCTTGCAATAAATAAAAAAAAAAATCTGGTTGAGCACTTAAAAGGCCAGACCACAGTAGGCTATATGGACCAAGTACAGGTAAATGGGATTAGTGCAGTTTGGTGTTTGTTGGTCAACATTGACATATGTATCCAATATGACTCTATGTTAAAGTCTAAAAATGATAACATTGCAAACCATGAGGTGTAAATGTTCTAAAGAGCATCAACTCAAATTGTATTTAGAAGTGTTGAGTATATACCAGGCATAACAGAAATTCTGGCAAGTATAAATTCAGGGGAATTCATACGATTAAAACAGATTATTTAGCACAATGATGTAGATTGTTAACAGCCCAGTGTGCTGAACTATAAATTATAAATGTAGGTAATCCTGGTAGTACTGGTTAACAAGGCCAAACAATCTGGCATCCGGTTCTAGTTGTTACCCCTTGGGTTTTTTTTTTAAATTATACCACTTAGTCTATATCAAGATTCTTATTTTGGATTTGATCCTGCTCCATTTGCAATGTGAATCCCTCACAGACTGCTCCAATAGAGGGAGTATTCACAAACCAATAGAATGTTTGATGTTTATCATGCATAGTCCAACTCATTGGAGGGCCACCAAGTGATTTTTTTATTGATTTTTTTCCTACTTTGGAGAAGTGATTCAAATAGAAAATTGTTTCGTGGATGCATGACTCTGAGGTTGCTGCTGATGATATTAAGTTTCTGCTGTACAAGATACCTGAACACATTTGTGAATGGCACAGTTCAACATGCAGCTGTAGGTTTGCTGGACAGCAAGTTGTCAGTGGTTGAGACCAACTTTCTGCTATCGAAGATGTGTGATCATTGAGAACCATGCATAAAATGTGGCCTAGGCTGCAGGTGGGAAGCCTATTCCTGAGTTAACAGTTCTGTTGTCACAAGACATGCATGAAATGTTTGGAACGACAGGAGCCTTTTCCTCTTTAAAAACGTTCAGAGCTTCACTCTGTTGACAATGACACAATCCCAATGCTATGAAAGTTAATCGACTTTGAGGCATTGTTTTAACAAATTTGTGTAAAATCTCCTTTGTAGACAAATTTAAGTCAGTCAGTCTTCCTTGAAACAAAGTAAAGATAATTTTACGCATTTGCAATCTTAATATTTTCTCTCCCCCACACCCCCAAATCCGTACCAACTGTTTTCACATGTTCCCTTGTGACTGGTTTGGGCACTGTGATTGAGGAATAGGTTATCTGTCAAATACTTCATAAAATGAGCAGTCCAGAAAAATAAAGGACAAGATAATTAGCTACAAATAGTAAAGAATATGTTTCAGGATCTTCTGTTATTTTCATTAGAAACTGCTAGCCTATTTGACAACCAGCGACAATTTTAACATAAAGGCTCATTTCAAGGCCCTTGCTCAGGTACGGTGAGGTTAAGCGGAATAGCCAAGATTATATAGCAGCGTGATAGGTCCCGATGGGAAGTTTAAAGAGACAGGTTCAAGAGAACTTCGAGTCATACAGTACGGGAACAGACTCTTCGGTCCAACCAGTGAAGATAGTCAACTGCACCTCCTCCACAATAACAGTTAACACTTGAGCCCCCACCAAAGGATGCGTTCTCAGCCCCCTACTGTACTCCATGTACATCCATGACTGTGTAGCCATCTACAAGTTTGCTGAGGATGCCACAATGGTAGGACGGATATCAAACAACAATGAGTCAGAATACAGAAAGGAGACAGAGGGTTTGGTGGCATGGTGCAACTACAACAATCTCTCAATGTTGGCAAAACAAGAGATCATGGACTTCAGAAAGAAAGGAGGAGAACACACCCCCATCTACATCAACGGAGCAGAGGTTGAGAGGGTTGAGGAGCGTCGAGTTCCTAGAAGTGACAATAACCAACAACTTCCCCTGGACTTCCCATGTAGACGCAACAGTCAGGAAGGCACAAAAATGCCTCTTCTTCCTCAGGTAGCATGTCATAAGGACCTTCACCAACTTTTACAGATGCACCACACAGAACATACTGTCCAGGTGCATAATGGCCTGGTATGGCAACTGCTCTGCCCAGGACCATAAGAAACTACAGAAGGTTGTGTGCACAACCCAGACTGTCACTGAAGCCAACCTTCCATCCATGGACTCCATTTACACCCCTCGTTGCCATGGAAAGGCTGCCAACATCACCAAAGACCCTCCCACCCTAGTAATGCTCTCCTACAACCTCTTCTGTCAGGCAGAAGATAAGGAAGCTTGAACAAACTCCAAGAGGTTTAAGAACAGCTTCTTCCCTGCCATTATTAAACTGATGAATGGACTCTGTAACTTCAAATAATGTTGATCTTGATTCGCACACCTCCTGTGCAGTATAACCTGTATGCCTCACTCTATCCTAACACCTTATGATCTGTATGGCCTTGCTTACAATGATTTGCCTGTACTGCTTGCGAACAAAGCTTTTCACTGTACTTAGGTACACTGACAATAAGTCAAATAAAATCAAACCATCCCAGAAACTAAGTGGGACTAAATTAGCTTGAAATTAGGAAACAAAACAGAAAATGCTGGAAAAGCTCAGCAGGTCTGGCAGCATCTGTGAAGGCAAAAACAGAG